ACACCTGAATCCAATGACTTGGAGGGCGGGCCCAATACTTTTGTCAATATAGTGTATACATGCTCCTTTTATATGTGTGGTTGCAGGGTGGGGCATGCCTCTGTCACCTATGATGGGTTGTCTGCTTTGACAGCTTCCTGGCAGGATAACTCAGGCTGGTTTGGACTCACCCCTAGTCACCTCTTCCTTTGCTCGCCTTCAGGACTTCACCAGAGCCTATCCATCCTCTGGAACTTCTTACCCCAATATGTCTGACTATCTCCTACTCTGTTCGTCTTTAGTCCATCCTGGCAAATTCCTCTCTTTAGCAAAGCCTAACTTAACAAATTAAATTTTACTTACTCCAACAACTAAGCCACTCATAGTTATTACCTTTTTGTATCACTTGACACCCCCTCTGAAGAGCAGGGTTCTCCCAACACTTCTGTAATGAACTGAATTGTAACTGTATTGTCTCCCTTATTTTGTATAATGCAAAGTAGAATGTTGGCTCTATTTTGCTATTTAAAGTGAAGTTCCAGTGAAAATAAAAAATAAATAAAAGCAGCTACAAAAACTGTAGCTGCTGACTTTTAAAAAACAGACACTTACCTGTCCCTCGGTCCAGCGTTGTCCCCCCCCAAAGCACATTTTACCAGCCGTCCTGTGTTCCTGGCGCCGGCATCTTCAGTGTGGCACCCGGCTTTGTCAGCATGCGGCTTTACAGCCGGGTGCCCACTGCGCATGTGCGAGAAGTGCTGCACTTTGTGAATGGCCCTTAGTCTTCTGGGACCTGTCATGTGTCCCAGAAGACAACGGATAGGGAAGGGAGGGAAGGACAACTTATGCTTCCAATCGCCTAGGTGATCGCAGCACAAGTGAGAGCGGGGGGTACTTATCAATTTCGGGTACCTGCTCCCCCCCCGCCCAAAAGTGCCAATCCTTAACAGGGGACCAATTCTTAAAGCGGAACGTCCCCTTTTGTGTGGAGCTCTGCTTTAAGTCCTGTATAATAGTAATTGGTTCTGTTGAGGCCTTTTTGATTCCTTTAGTGCTGATTCACACTGATGCAGTGTGTGAAACCGCATGTGATTCGGTCAGGAATTGCACCACATTCCTGTTCAAATCACATGCGATTCTTTGCAGTGCATTTTGAGCCCATTCATTTAAGGCTCAAATTGCAAGTTACCCGCATGCAAAAAATGCATACACCGTTTTTTGTCACACTGGAATCGGATTGCATGGGCATTAACACCCATGCGATCCAATTCAGCCCATCACACTGCATTTTGCGACCTGTTTTTGGGGTGTCGCTAAGTTAACATTGACACCCACAGCTGTTCACATGAACGGAGTGCGATTGTGATATGTTGTGGAAAATTGTGATATGTTGTGGATCGCTGTGAATGCTGCACTGCATCAGTGTGAACTGGTAAACTTCACTGATATTGGTGCAGAAAGCCGAGATCCAAAATCAGCCTTGTGCCAAATATCTCTTGTGTCTCCATCTTGCCCTTCCCGCTCCCTTTTCCCTCCTTCTTCGGCTTCCTCTCTATGATTTTCATCTCCACTCTTCCCCTTTGTGGGTTGTATAATGTGTATGCGATTACTGAGTCTGCTCAGGATGACAGGTTGTGTCAGGGATCACGGCTACGAATGGCTCCATGCATGCGCAGAGCGCCGATCTATTCTAGCTGGCGGACACTAGGACCTGGACGGCAGCGGCTGCGCATGCGCATGCGCACTCGTGATCGCGGCCGCTCAACTGGCACCAATGGCAGGGCAGGGCGCATTACCTGCCCTGCACCTACACACATTGCCGTATGGTCTTATCCCTGTGTACCTGTATCCTGTTGTTGAAGATTCGTTGCTGACCTGCCTGGACCTGACCTCTGCTGACTTCTCCTGCACTGACCCCTGGCTAAGTTTGACCTCTCTTGTGGATACCCCTACCTGATCTGAACTACTGGTACCGACCCCGGCAAGTGACCTGACTATTCTGCCTGCTGCCTTGTACTACGCTGACCTCTCTGTTACCGACCTGGCCCGTCTGACCACGCTCATCCGTCCATCCATCCGGCACGGATCCAGCTATCCCTGCTTCCGCCTTCTGCCTCTTCACGTCAGGCTCTCCATCTGCACAGACCCCCGGCGGACTCCTCTACCGCAGACGGGTGTACTCAGAGGCCGCGACCTGGTTCCAGTCTTCTCCAAGTCCATCCCCACCATCAGGGGCCCTGGTGAACAAGCAGGCTGGGGCTTAGACTCCGCGCTCTGGGGAATCCTGTCCTGTGGGCTGCTAGAGATACCGCCAGGTGGTTGCTAACAGGTTGATTTTTGTAGGATTCTCAGCTTTGGAAGTTAGTTAGTATATACTGCTTAGTGGTATCCTGAGGCAGGTGTGGGGGGTTGCGCGCCGCAACAGGTGACACCTACCGCACGGGGTGACACCAGACCTTATCCACGAAAAGGTAAGTTGTAAAGCAAGCCGATGATCCCCGAAAGATGGATCAGATCTGCGGATTGAGCATAATGGATCGGACTCTGATCCATTATGCTCCCCAAGCCGCAGATCCGATCCATCCTGCGGGGATCGTCGGCTTGCTTTACAACTTACCTTTTCGTGGAGCGGGTCCGGTGTCACCCCGTATAGGTTGCATGCCGACGATCCCTGCAGGATGGATTGGATCTGCGGATTGGGGAGAATAATGGATCGGACTCTGATCCATTATGCTCAATCCACAGATCTAATCCATTCTGCGGGGATCGTCGGAGTGGGTGTCACCAAGTGTTAACGCACCGGTTGACACCAACCCTAGGGACGCCCCTGATACTGCTATTTACAGTATGTCACGTGATCGCCTGTTTTTATGTACCTTGAATTTTTTGTATTTCTGTATGATTTCAATAAATGTAACTGTTAAAAAAAAAAATCTCTTGTGTCAGATATTTTTTTTTGCTACTTGGTGTCATTTCTACATCCCTTTTCACTATGTTTCGACAGAGGTAAATATATGTTAGCAATATCCATGCTGCAGATCAGACATACCAATTTATACAGACTTTCTGACATTTCTTTGGTGAAAGTTGAACTAATGATGTACAACAACGTAATCCTGGAATATCCGATGGTATCCCAAGCACGTTACAAGAGAGCTCCGATCAGGTTAATAATTGCTAGTTCATTTCAATCAAGTTACGTGCAGTTGAAGTGAATTAATTCAGTTGTGAGAGTCTGTCCCAAAGTTGGCGAATCGATTCAGAATTCTGTCTGGGTGGGGGTGGGGCACTGATGGACAGTACTACATTGTGTGTAAAGACCACTCTGCTTTCCAAAGCCCCCAGATACAGAATGTTGTTGGAGACATTTGTCACCTATTGTAGATTTTCAGAACAAATGTTTTTCCCCCATTGCATGCATTTAAAAAGCAATTTTCCACATACAGTTGTATTAAACCCAAATCCTAAAATGTAATATATTGCAGCTTGCCAATCATTAGATGTGCTGGCTGCATTCATTTTCTTTTTTAGTTTTTTTCCCTCCGTTTTCACTTGGTGATCTGGCCAGTCACACACACTTGTATTAGAGTGCCCCTTTCTGGAGCAACAGGGACACCTCTGGACAGCAGCATTCTCCAAAGCTGGCAGAGAGGGGTGTTAGATGGACTAGCAGATTTATATACTAACAAACTGAATTCAAACTACGGATGCAGTTAGAGCAGTTTTTTTTTTTTCCTGTTTGGTTAAATGATTTACCTAAATAAATAAAAGCTGATCATTGTAAGCACCACTGCTAGTGTTAAATGGTTTGTCTCAACCCTCTAACTGCTACATATGCAGGATAGCTTTTTCTGAAAAACAACAGATTTATTGGCTAAAAGCTATTCAGAGCAACCTAGGGAACAGTCAAGTGAAGCCTTAAAAATTCAGAGCAGATGCTGATATGTAAAATCTCTTTCTCCGTCACCAGCATTGCTAAGGTCAGCATTTTGCTGTAGAGTGATCAAGCTGACTAAACTCCATATTTAGGTCTGCTTTGAAAAATTCAGGAGGCACTAAGACTGGTTGGCAATGTATTAGAAGGAACATAAACCTGTTATACTGCTTCACTCAGGCAGCCATGGCCTGACCCCCGTCTTCCTAGGGACAACACACAAACAAGGACAGTAGATGTCACCTCTGCAGATGGCATTGATAAGCAGTGTTGACTCTAGGAACAAGATATGGGGGGGCAGTAAGATACCACAGTCAAAACTAGGGGGGGTCTAATAATTTTCACCACCAATAAGAGAGGGGGGGGAGAGAGAGAGAGGGAGAGAGAGAGAGAAAGAGGGGGAGAGAGAGGGGGGGAGGGGGGAGAGAGAGAGAGAAAGAGGGGGGAGAGAGAGGGGGGAGGGGGAGAGAGAGACAGGGGAGAGAAGAGGGAGGGGGAGAGAGAGGGAGGGAGAAGGGGAGAGAGAGACAGGGAGGGAGGGAGAGAGAGAAAGATGGAGAGAGGGGGGAGAGGAAGGGAGAAAGGAGAGGGGGGAGAGAGAGAGGAAGGGAGAGGGGGGGAACGAGAGGGGGGAGGGAGAGAGAGGGGGGAAAAAGATGGAGGTAGAGGGGGAGAAAGGGACAGGGAGGAGAGAGAGAGAGAGAAGGTGGGGAGGGAGGGGGAGAGAGAGGAAGGGAGAGAGAGAGGGAAAGGGAGAGAGAGGGAGAGAAAAAACTCTCAAAAGCTTTTCTTTATTCTGTAGTTTAAAGCCATTTCAGCAAACACCAGGGCTGTGTAAATAATCCCGTGTGTTAAATATGTCACTAATGAAGACCAATGAATATTATAATTAGACTATGACCAGCTGGATTTTGTGCATAGATTAGATGTGGCCTGGAAAGTTAACATTATTAATTGTATCCTCTCAGCATGAGTAAATGGCTTCTCCTAAGAGGAAGTACATGACGGTCAGAGATGTAACTAGGCATCTCAGGGCCCCGGTTCAAGAATCCATGAAAGGTAAGAGACTGCAGGCACACAACAGGAGATGATCAGAGACTGCAGACATAATACAGGAGATGGTCAGAGAATGCAGACATAATACAGGAGATGGTCATAGACTACAGATATAACACAGGAGATGGTCAGAGACTGCAGGCATACTACAGGAGAAGATCAGAGTCTGCAGGTATACTACAGGATATGGTCAGATCAGGGGCGGACTGACCATTTGGAAACTCGGGCACTGCCCGAGGGCCCGGGGTCAGTAGGGGCCCCATGAGATGCCCCTGGTACCTTTATCATAGGCTTTTGTTAGTTTGGGGAAGGACACAGGGGCCCCATGATCCCCTATTGCCCGGGGGGCCCCATGAGTTGTCAGTCCGCCCCTGGGTCAGATACTGCAGACATACTACAGGATATAGTCAGACACTGCAGACTTACTACAGGGGATGGTCAGAGACTGCAGGCATACTGCAGGCATACTACAGGGGATGGACAGAGACTGCAGGCGTACTACAAAGGATGGTCAGAGACTGCAGGTATACTACAGGATATGGTCAGATACTGCAGACATACTAAACGATATAGTCAAAGACTGCAGACTTACTACAGGGGATGGTCAGAGACTGCAGGCATACTACAGGATATGGTCAGATACTGCAGACATACTACAGGATATAGTCAAAGACTGCAGACTTACTACAGAGGATGGACAGAGACTGCAGGTATACTACAGGATATAGTCAGAGACTGCAGACTTACTACAGGGGATGGTCAGAGACTGCAGGTATACTACAGGATATAGTCAGAGACTGCAGACTTACTACAGGGGATGGTCAGAGACTGCAGGTATACTACAGGGGATGGACAGAGACTGCAGGCATACTACAGGAGATTGTCAGAGACTGAATACGCACTACAGGAGATGGTCAGAGACTTCAGACACACTACAGGAGATGGTCAGAGACTGCAGGCATACTACAGGACATACAAAACGGATAACAGGCGCATGGTGTGGCAGTCCATGTATGTTTGATGAGTTCCAAATGGGCAGGGGTGAGGGGTAGTCCAGTAGGCACTAAGGGCAAGCAGCGTAGGAGCAAAGCATAACTCTGCAGAAGGGAAAACAAAGAAACACAGCGCCTATCTTAGAATTTAAAAACAGGCTCATGGGTAAGAGGGTGAGAAGTCTGTAGCCAGATGATGTTTTGTGTCTGATCCAGAGAGGAGATCGATTGAGTCCATCAGCAGGTGGTGCTGTGCATGTGCAACATTAATGGTAAGCCTAGTGGAATCTCCAAGGTGTCTGCCAGCAGATGGTGCCGTGCATATGCAGCATGGATGGTGGAGCTTGTCAGAGTCTCCAAGATGTCCGGGATCAGCACATGTGGCGTCTGATGCGACGCGTTTCTGATCATGTGCAGGACGAGAAGAGTCCAGGCGCGCTCTTTCATCAGGCAGGCTGATTCTCCTATTCTACACCCAGTCGCATGTGCGACCTCTGCAGCCCTGGTAGTTCCACCACTGGCGGGGGGGGGGGGGACAAGGAATAACCTAGGGGGGGCAATTGCCCCTCCTTGCCCACCTGTAGTGACACCACTGCTGATAAGCCCTGTAGGTTGAAATACATTTGTCAGAGTATAAGTCAGACAGTGGAATGAAGACTTGCTGTTACCATCCCTGGTATAGCTGATGGAAAATTACTGTCTATTCTGCAAATTAGATCAGTAAGGCCAGATTCACACAGCTAGGCTGTAGTTATGTGAATGCTACTGCAAGTGCAAAGATATGTGCATCAGTTTGCTCAGGCCCGGGACAAGGGGGTGCAACTGCCCTGGGCGCAATGGTTTACTTTAGAGATGGGGGCACCTTCCTTCTGTTACAAGGCTGACAGCAGTAGTGACAGTGGCAATGATTTTGACAAGTTGTGAATGCTGGGTGAAAGATCCCCTAAGTTTGCACATCATGAGCAGGGGGGGCATGGCTTGGAATCTTTACCCTGGGCCCACCAGTGAATACTATCAATGCCCATCAGTGCAGCCTCATCAGTGCACATTAGTTTAACAAAAAAATCTCTAGCAATACAAACCAAACTGAGCATGTGCAGAGTGACTCCACACAATATGTCTTATCAGGAGATAAGAGGGGGGCACTGGAAGAAGGGGAGGATCAAAGAAGACATGATCAGCCTTTTTCCATAATGCAGAGGATTAACCCTTTAGGTTCCACAGTGAGTATACCAAGCATGCTTTACTGCATATACAGACTGATTTTACTGTTGTGGGTTTAGTAACACTTTAATGTATAACAAAGATGTATATGGGCCCTCATTGTTCTTTTTAATTAAAGTAACTGCACTGTGAAGTTATGTATGTTCCATGCAATCACAGCGACAGGAGCCATTTAAGCAGGTTGCGTCTACCAGTAGAGTTTGACATTTAACAGGTCATCTAAACAATAAGGAGTGTATTTTCGAGTAATCTTTTATTTTCCTTTGATGGGACTATCTAGGAATAAATACCTTCTAACAGGTAGGAATGCATTATTTTGAAGTTGATTAATTTATGTGTTATGAAAACAATGACTTATGGATGTATGTATAATTCTGTTCTCATAAACTACAGATATACTGTAAGAGCACAAAGTAATAAGGTGGATGTAATAGTGAACAAAAGGAAACTTTTTTTAAGTGAAAATAGAGGGATTTTCAAGGTGTATATATGTTATTTTAAAGCATAAGTCGCATTGTGTTTTGCTCAAGAACTGAATTTAGTCATAGAAGAATAGTTATAGTGTTACTAAACCCCGGACCCAGCATTCACTATATCTGGTCTCCCACAGTACACACAACATGGAAATGCAATTATTATAGTAAATGTAAACTGCTAAATACCTTTTCTCATCAGCAGTTGGAGCAGTCTTGTGACTTCTATCAATGTTCAGCAAAGCACTGGTTAAAACTTGTAGGAGGAGTTTTCATTCTCCTCTCACTATCCTATGAGGCTGCCTAACCCCATGATCCTCTGTCTGGACAGTGCTAATTGGCCCTGGGCCAATCACATGCACCCTTCCAAAGGATAAAAAAAAACCTAGCAATACATACCAAACTAAGCATGTGCAGAGTGACTCCAAGAACTCTGTGCTATCAGCAGTTGGATTGGGGACAACAGAAGAATGGGAGGATCAGAGAAGACAGGATCAAACAGCCTTTTTCACACAATGTGGAAGATTAACCCCTTAGGTTCCACAGCATGCTGTACTGCATATACAGACTGATTTTATTGTTGTGGGTTTAGTAACACCTTAACGTAGTTTATAGCTAATTTGTAATGTAAATCATAAGATGATCGCACACTTCATCCACCGCTCAGATACGCTTATTTATTTAGGGGTCACAACATCATGCAGATAACAGCAGATTATCATTTATAAACCAGATACAATTTGAGAACAGACTAGATTTTCTATTGTTCTACTATATAAAAACCTCAGTGGACACACACATACAATTGTGACAGATGTACTCTCTGGAACCTGGTGGCCGCAGCTTGGCCCCATAGGCACACTGTGGCTTAACAACTTACAGTCACCTACAGTTACCTTCACAGATCGCCATACAGGTGATCCTCCAGTTCCTGAACCCATGGAATTTTACTGTGTCACAGTATATGCAAATTTCTCCACTAGCCACCACCAAGGCGGTCATCCTGAGAAGGGTGTCACCAGTCAAAGAGTAAGGCATCTCCTCTGTTAGAGAAGACTCCCCCCATCATAGTTCTTCACAAGATCTTTATTTCAGATGTTTAGCAGATTAACATTCTCTGATAACCTGGCCATTGGAGTCTTAAGTATGCACAAGACCTCAGTGCTGACCTCAGAAAACCATTGTCGCTATTCATCATGGTCCAGCACCATCATATCTGGCATAGACATCTGAGCCTGCTTCAAACATCTTACATTTTGAAGGAATCATGTTTTTGTTAAGCTGAGATTGCTTCCCCTGAGTTCAAATAAGGGTGAAGTCAACCTCCGCAAGTTTTAAGCTTTGCGAAAGAAAGTTTGTCAGTTTCTTCTTCCAGCCTCCATTAGCAGTTCCACTCAATGCATCCTTTGTAACCAGGCCGTGCGTCAGTCCATTAAAGATAGGTGAAATGGTGCTAATGGTGAGAAAGCTCTGTCCATCTGTGCGTCTTCCATTCAGCAGACATGAACTGTATGGCATTAAATGTGTCTAACAGTAGATGGCAAATAGTTTCCAAATTGCTAGCTGAAGTAAACAAGACAATTTCCAAACATTTTGAGAATAAATCCACAAGAAAAAATGTAATTGTCTGGAAATACCTGCAAAATCTACACATAGTCAGTACAAGGGGTACATGGTGATTTCTCCAGGGTAGACCATATTTCTTGTTGGATGATTGTGTGGTGTTTGATACAGAAAACAGATCTTTGACCATCCTTCAGTTCATCAATTTTAGGTCACCACAGCCTTAAACTAAACTCCAAGGAAACAGTTAAATACACAGAAGAAATACATGTACTGGAGCTCTTGTACTTAAGCATCCCACAGGTGGAAGGAAAGAAAATTGCTTGATTCCCCCATCAACACAGTCAGCTCCGACAGCGCTGTTGTGTTCTGCCAGTGGGTACCCTTCCTGGCCGGCAGAACACAATGATTACAGTTAGCGGCTATATCTGCCAGCAGTAATCACATGTAAAAAATCTGACAGGCTGGTTGTACCCAAGTTGACCGAGGGATCGACTTGGGTACAACCAGCCTGCCTATAGATGGATCGCATATCGACCAGTCCCTATTGAACCAGGCAAGATTCGATCCATCCTGCACGGTCAGATGGAATCACTGTAGCAGACACCGGAAGCTAGTAGAGATCACTGTACTAGACACTGGAAGCTATTAGAGATCACTGTAGTAGGCACAGGAAGCTAGTGGAGATCACTGTAGTAGGCACTGGAAGCTAGTGGAGACCACTGTAGTTGGCACTGGAAACTAGTGGAGACTACTGTAGAAGGCACTGGAAACTAGTGGTGATCACTGTAGTAGGCTCAGGAAGCTAGTGGAGATCACTGCAGTAGGCTCAGGAAGCTAGTGGAGATCACTGCAGTAGGTGCCGGAAGCTAGTGGAGATCACTGTAGTAGGCTCAGGAAGCTAGTACAGATCACTGCAGTAGGCACCGGAAGCTAGTGGAGATCACTGTAGTAGGCTCAGGAAGCTAGTACAGATCACTGTAGTAGGCACCGGAAGCTAGTGAAGATCACTGTAGTAGGCTCAGGAAGCTAGTGGAGATCACTGTAGTAGGCTCAGGAAGCTAGTGGAGATCACTGTAGTAGGCGCAGAGAGCTAGTGGAGATCACTGTAGTAGGCTCAGGGAGCTAGTGGAGATCACTGTAGTAGGCTCAGGAAGCTAGTGGAGATCACTGTAGTAGGCACCGGAAGCTGGTGGAGATCACTGTAGTAGGCACCGGAAGCTGGTGGAGATCACTGTAGTAGGCACCGGAAGCTAATGGAGACCACTGTAGTAGGCACTGGAAGCTAGTAGAAATCACTGTAGTAGGCACCAGAAGCTAGTGGAGATCACTGTAGTAGGCACCAGAAGCTAGTGGAGATCACTGTAGTAGGCTCAGGAAGCTAGTGGAGATCACTGTAGTAGGCTCAGGAAGCTAGTGGAGACCACAGTAGTAGGCACTGGAAGCTAGTAGAGATCACTGTAGTAGGCAGTGGAAGCTAGTAGAGATCA